CTCGATATAGTCGCATTGAATGTTTACATCGGAATAAAGTCCGGTTGAATTTGATTGAGAAACTTAATTTCAAAAGTGTTAATCTTTGCTGCATATCCATCAAATTTTGTGGTATTGTTTTCCTGAACTTCTTTGATCTAGATGCATACATATACGGATAATTGACATATTCCAGATAGGTGTACAGCCATTAGAAATTGTGTTTGGTACACAAGGCATTTATGTATACCAATTTTACACAAAACTCCCATAGCCTGCTTTTCTCATCGTTTGCTGTATTGAGAGAGAAATGAAAACTTTATATTGTGATTTTGTATTTATTTCATTAAAAACAATATTACTGTTCACCAGAACGTTTTCTTTTGAATTCATAATCGATAGCTTGATTGCAGAAAAAGGGTCTAACATTAAAGAGATCCAGTTTTCAGTATTTGCAAGGGAGGTTTCCACTAGATTCCCCACTGGATTGTGCTTACGTGAAAATCAAATATGCACGTTGTCATCTATGACACAAATATTCCATAACGGTAAACTAAATAACGATTTTGGTTTCCTTCTGAACGACCACAATCTAATAGGATAATACTAATACCGCATTCCGAGACACGACACAACAAAAATTAACAATAAAGGGTTGTTTTTACATATATTCCAGATTAAATGGGTATTTGTAAATTTCGGAGTCAAACCACCTTAGGCAGGTAGTTTGACATCCGAATAACAACGGATTTGAGTCTAGAATAAAATACTCGTGTGAACGCAAAAACATATTCTAATCCAGAATATATCAGGGTACATACTATTTGTTTACAATGTTTTGCGCGTCAGAAAATCACGTGCGTCCACGAATATTGATTTCACTGGTATTCAGAACTTAATATAAAACATTCAGTCAAGTTAATCCTTTCTAAAAAAGTACGGAGTGCTTCGCAGTATATCATGAATTACGTCAACATGAAGCAAACATTGTTGTTTGGGTCTTGAATACACATACTGTAATTTGATATTATCTCCTGTCCGGGACATGTCCTCAATTCTATGTCTGATTCTAGTCAATCGAATTTTAGCCTCATCATACGATGTCTACACTAAAACAACTGTTATTCGTCCAGTAGTCATAACTTCGGCACCCAAACAACGGTTATCCGTTTAGCAGTCTTCAAAATAGCAGATGTTATCCGTCCAGTAGTCATGACCTTGGCACAGACATTATTTATGAGATACATTGTGCAATAAGAACTATACATTTCAGAACCACATGTGAACACAAACTGGATTCAATTCATATATGATAAATCCTGATGTACATCGGATTTCATGATATCTTATTTGAATCTAGCATGCTTGTGAACAGTGTAGAATAGTTATGCAAGCTCAGGAATATCGTATCATGTTGCTATTTAAAATGGAAGTTCATACGAGAAAATCTAAATGATCTCTTTTAGTTTAGTTTTCAACGTATGCTTACTGTCAATCTAGATGTAAACCATGATATGAATAGTCCTAACAGTTTCTATGGTATAATTAATCATAAATTCAATTATATTGATGCGAATGACATCATTTATATAGATGGAACATTAAGTCAAAGTATCAACCTAGGTTTTGTAGTTCTCCTTGAGAAACGACGGCATGAAATCTGCAACATGCTAATAATGGACCAATAATTATAAAAAGGGTTCTAGTTTACTCCCATAGTTATTCCGACGGTCCGTCGAAAAACACGTCCACCAAACGTAACAAATGAAATAATTAAGTAACCTTGTGATATCAGTTTAAGACACGAAAAAAAAAGTCAGAGTGGTATTTAAAAAGTAAGAATTTTGTATCTACTTTAACATTCTTTTTTGATGAAAATCGTCGGTAACAAGCAGCGTGACATTGCTTGGTCTGCCATTTGTTTTCAAAATTCTTTAATGAGGGGCGTAGAAGTCAATTTACACGAGATGATGGGCTCTGATTGTATGTCCTCCAACCACTCCTTGGCATTACTTAGCATCCACTTTTGATTCACAACGCCCCAACAGTGCAGTTTGTAAGGACAAATATAATGTGGGTATCTAGTATTGTGAAAGAAAATTCAGTTTTTGATTATGATTTTCTTTAAGCAAATGTCGTTGTAGTAGATGTTCGGTTCCTAAGTGAATTGCCAATACCATATCCTCATCATGCCGGTTATATAATTTAATTTCTGTATCTAAATTTTTTTTAGCTAAAAGTTCAATTTTGCACCGAAAATGATTAAATTACTAGTGTGACCATAATTGTGTAAGTAAAACTGTCATAGTGCAAATTTTGCACTTTGTGATGGGTGCTATTTCATACATGGTATGATTAAAAGGAAACCCATTTTATTTTATTTTTTATCTCGAACAAAAAGTATTGAAAGTGTATCAAAAGCGTTCTTCATATGTTCAAAAGATGCCAGACATTAATATATATATATATATATATATATATATATATATATATATATAAATATATATAGAGTCTATAAGAATCTACCAACCAGTAAACTTAATAGGTATTGGATCATCAAAATTGACAATACTACACAAACAGGGAAAATTATATGAGTCTAAAAGATTGTGTAACAATACCGATAAATAGATGGAAAACAAAACACTAAAAAGTGTTGAATATCATCGCACAAAGCCGAAATATTTGCAATTATTGTATAATTTATATCATCTGTTCAGTTTTTCCATCTTTGTGCGATGATATTCAACACTTTTTAGTGTTTTGTTTTCCATCTATTTATCGGTATTGTTACACAATCTTTTAGACTCATATATATATATATATATATATATATCATAGATTTGAACGTTGTTTTCAATTTAGACTTGTTTATATTTTTTCGTTTGGGCTTGTATTATATTTGCGTTCGGGTTTATATGATACGTTCATCCTATTTCGACTCTTTCAAAATTCAAGAGTCTATCCTAAATTGAGGTAAATTATATGGCCTTCCACATACCGTTTCGATTCCAAACATCACTGAAGAGACATTAATTGTCGAAATCCGGATATGGTGTACACATTTTTGCACCTCATGTTTGCGATATACCATCTTTTCCGCAAGTTTATTGTTTTCTGTTTGATAATAAATTATTATAAGATCCATTTTGTTACATCTGGTGATCCGTTTATTTGGCAATCCCGAATGGCAGTCAGCAGGATTTTAGAACATCAGTTGTTCGACCTGCTAGTCAAATGCGTTTTGTTAAAATAGACTTTTTCACTTTTTTTGGTCTTTTGGAAAATGTTGTTTGTGCTGTATTTAGACCCCTCTACCAAGAAATTTGTTTTGCATGCACACGTATAAAAATTGCAGTTTTTATCCAACGCAATCATAGGTTTGAACGTTGTTTTCAATTTAGACTTGTTCACTTATATATATATATATATATATATATATATATATACAACTCGTCTAAACATCAGCCCAACAATGTTAGATCTGTAAATTTGCTTTCGCAAATTTTTGTTCTTCCCTCGATATATATAAGTACGTCGGAACCAGTAACGAATTATATAGACAATAACTGTTTAGTGTCTTTAAATATCAGCTGTATTTGTACGAGGCTAAGAAACAGGTGTAATGCGAGCTTCAGCGAGCTATTACTCCTGTTTCGAGCCGAATACAAATACAGCTGATATTAAAAGACACTAAACAGTTATTGTCTTTATCCTGCAATTAAATGTGTACATTTTTCCCCATCACAATCGTTGAATTTGTTTTTGAAAGAAATCGACAAGACTTAAACGCGGACCGCAATGAGTACCCCAAATTGAACTGTGACGTAAACAGTAATTTGACATAACCGTTCGCTCGCAACAGAAGCAGGATACCAGGAGACTATATACGTCTAGTAAACGTATATCGCTTCGTGTTGTCTGTACACCTGTATTGGTATAGTAGAAAGGTCGATTGCAGGATAAATATATATATATATATATATATTGCGGTTTTTATCCAACGCAATCATAGGTTTGAACGTTGTTTTCAATTTAGACTTATTTATATTTTTTCGTTTGGGCTTGTATAATATATTTGCCTTCGGGTTTATAGGATCAGTTCATCCTATGTCGACTCTTCAAAATTCAAGAGTCTATCCTAAATTGAGGTAAATTATATGGCCTTCCAAATACCGTTTCGATTCCTAAGAGACATTTATTGTCGAAATCCGGATATGGTGTACAAATTTTTACACCTCATGTTTGCGGTATACCATCTTTTCCGCAAGTTTATTGTTTTCTGTTTGGTATAAAATTAATAATAAAGAATCATTTTTACACCTTGTGATCCGTTAATTTGGCAATCGCCAATGGCAGTCAGCAGTTGTTCGACCTGTTAGTCAAATGCGTTTTGTTTAAATATACTTTTCACTTTTTTGGTCTTTTGGAAAATGTTATTTGTGCTGTATATATTTATATATATATATATATTTAAATTTTGTCTCACTGTTTTGCCAAAGACCTTTAGACCTTTTATCTTTAAATAAACAAATAAAAGAAAAACCTTCCAAAATAGCATTTTTATGATGTCTTGTCATTATGAAATAGAAATGAGCAACAACATTACGCAAACAGATATTTGTTACATGATGTCTTGTACCCATATTTTAATTTGATTTAGACGTCTTTTATCGATAAGGCTATTGAGCATATTCAATTTTCCTAAAACTATGTGTAAAATGGTTATTTAAATTTATATGGCAATTCACATACGTCACAGAGACATTTGAACAAATGGTATCAAAGTATATAATCCTGTTTATTTATCATTAGAATAATAAAAAAAATAAAAAATGCAAGCATTGCAGAATTCTCATATTTGCAATTTCAGCAATTAAATAATGGCTCTAATCATACTTTATCCTGGATAACAAATTTTGTTAATTAAGTTTTAAAAAAATATAGCTTTTCCAAAAACTTACAATTAACTAGAAGACGGAAAATACGTTTTTTTCTTATTTCCATTCCATGATTCTTACCTTTATATGTTGATGCCAAACTTGCCAAACTTCTTTAGCTTTCAGTTCCTTACATTTTTTATCCATTAAGATTGTTTACTTTTTCAAAGTACGATCAGGTATCAGAAGTTAAGTCGAACATCAATCGTTTATAAATTTTATCATAAATGTCTAAAGCAATTCACACAGGAGGCTATGTAACATGCAATTATAAAGCAAAGCGAGTTGTTGAGTTAATGATCGATTCAGAATTGATTTGCTGAAAATTAGATACATGTGTGCAAATGCTTATTGCTAAAAGAGGATAATGGTTGTATATATTTACATTTGGTTGGAGTTAAGATTTATAAGGCGAAATTCATAATAAATGTAACTGTACATGGTATTCAACCGGAAGGCAATGTTACCAAATTAATTTAGAGAATTTGTTTATTATTTCGATTACGAAATGCGTTATACTTGATTAAATAATAATGCTTAATCGCTTTCATTATATATTTGAACAACACGAGTTTGTCTTAGCAGATATGTTGTTTTATACGTTTATACTAAGACTGATATAAACACTTCTTCTGACAAATCTGTATGATATTCCATACTAATTTCTTGATTTTTGTTTTCCTAATTCAATCTTTTATCTTATTCTATGGTTTCTTTATTTATTATTTTCTGATAGTTTGTAATATAGAAATAAAGAAATGCTTCCATAAAAATAATAATAATGGGACATTCCAAACTTGTAGTTTTTCATTCGATTTGTTTTGGGGAATCACTCCAAGGTTTCCTCCTCGAGGGTATCATCAGCCCAGTTGTCATCACTTCTGTGTTGAAATGAATTATTGATATGGTCTTATTCATTAATTAGCTGTTAACAAAACATTGATTTTTATAAATATTAAGGATTTTCTACCCCAGGAATAGATTTCCTTAGCTCTAATTGCCAAAGTTATGGGTCCTCAATGTTCTTCAACTTCGTACTTTATCTGGCCTTGTCCATTTTTTTTTATACAGCGTCACGGATGAGCCTTTTGTAGACGAAACGGGCGTCTGGCGTACAAAACTTTAATACTGGTATCTATAATGAGTTTATTCCATGGGAACTCTATCAAAATCAAAACATTCCATAGATGTATCTGTATATATATGCCGATAAAATCTTAATCAACTAAATCATATGATATTAAAACTTGGATGTTGAAAAGCTTTTCTTTATTTTTGGTTCCTTGATCAATATTTGAGTAGGTATATTACCTGATTTACTTATCATTTTGCTATGAGTCAAATTTTTAGGACAAGCTGTAATTCGTTGAAATCATTGTCGTTAACAATTTGACAACTTAAACACATTTTGATGATCGGATACTTCAGATAATAAATTATGAATCTCGAGTCATCCTTTTGGGATTTCGTAGTAAGTATTTCAAACGGGATACTATAACTGATTCATAGTCATGATTAGCCTTAGAAAATAGACGTAGTACATGAATCCTCAATTTTTGAATTAGCATCTCGATTGATCCTTTCGGGGTTACTTTTATTCAAAATAAGATAAGATGAGACAATCTTCATATCAGAGACAAAATGCCTAAATATGTATATTAAATACATATCACAAAATATACTGTCGTAGCAGGATAAAATGTTAAAGTATTTACAGTATCAATTATATTCTATTAATGTAGATATAAAAAGTTAGCATATAACTCAATGTACCATACTCATAAAAATGTCGAAGAATTAAATTTCCCATAACTTCATTGAAAGACACCACTTAACTACAGACAACATTACTCGAAATATATCTATATTCATATTGCCCTAGTATCCTGAAAGCATCCTAAAACTTCCGATTGATAAATTAAGAAATCATTAAGAAACAAAGGTGTTAACTCTTAAACGCTAGTTGAACATATATGAATTTGACTATTAAGGTCCCCTTTGGTCACACATATCTCCTAACGTTTCAACGTATGTTTAAACACCTGGTTTTAAAATGTTGAGGTTTAATCGTTCCTGATGAAGATAAACACAGAAAAGCGCTTCGGATGTACGAAACTTATAAATCGCAATTTTCATTCACAGATAAAAAAAAAAAACCTTATGAAGTATACCAAGCATATACTGAACGCTTTTTGCGAATATTTAATTCATTCACAGATACATTGCTTGTCACAATACTCACTTCTGAGTAGTAAGATATAGAGAGTTGCTGACATTTCTTCAAAGTAATTTTAAAAGATGGAAAATATGTCATTACCTGTTTTAAAAATTATTTTCTCACGCTCTTGGACAATGTTAAGTTTATCTGTTTAATAGCATAATCTAACATTTTCACAGTGTCAAGAAATATGAGTGTTTGTTTTACAAAAATATGAACATCGGAAGTGATAGATGTATAGTCCAAATTATATTTCAGCTAGACCTTTTGCTTGATAGAATATGTAATTCAGTATTATTAACGTATGAAGGAACAAATGTTGAACATTTCAATCATTCGACTATTTATGGATTAATTCATATAATTTTCTTGACTTTACATGTTGTCTTTTTGCTTATCCATTTTCCTTGTGAACAGTTTCCAAAGGTTAGACTTAATTCAATATTATAATTATCTTAATCTTTATTTTGTAAAACGACACATTAATGTCTTCGGAAGCGGAACATTATGTTCTTGTGTGCGTTAATACAAAGCATGTTCAGTTTCTCCTTCATGTTGAATACCACATTCCGGCTAAGTGCAAGTTATAAAATAAGCTAGACTTGCATTTTTTTAAGTAATGTTGTTTGGACAAAAAATCAAGAACAATCTGTTTTGATTAAACACAAACCTGTTTGTCATTTTGGCCAATGTACGGATACATTTGGAGATACCTCTTTCATTTTTCTAACATAATTTAAGATTTGGATGTGGAGTAAATTTTAAAGATATTTTTGTAGTACATATGGATAAAGGCGTAGCTACTAGTTTATTATTTTAGTTTCGTTTTGACATCATTTAGAGTAGAGGTGGCATGAGGGGAAACACAAGGTGAGGTAGGGAGAAGATAAAAGTCCGTCAAGTAAAATTCATAAGTAAGAAAGCTGAAAACCTTTTATAAATCGGACAAAGAAATCGTACTAAACTTGTCATGTCAAGAAAAACAAGACAATCTACAGTACACAAACACGCAAACACATACTTAGCAAAATTAAATAAATACCAGGAAACCTTGTAAAATATTATAGATGGGGTTGAAAACGGATGCTAGTGTAAAGATAAATAAGAATAAGGTGGGATGTTACTGTGAATTTCTTTTTCCTATCAATATTTGATATATTAAAATAACGGATTTCGTGTGTAAAGGTAAATACGAATCTAAATGTTTAACGAAGTAAAAATGTTTTATATTCTAATATGCTGACTTTTGCAAAACAAACCACGAAACCAAATATCTCCTTATTTTCATATTTATGAAAATATAATGTTTCCTCAATCTTAGAAAATTGATATCCACAAAAATAAATGAGTCCACAGAATCTCACGAGCAACAAACTCCAAATTATATTTTTTGAGGATCATACTTATAATATGGAGATAAGAAAATGTGGTATGATTGCCAATGAGACAGCTATTCATCATATCAAATTCTTTTTTTTAGACCCATCAGATGCGTTTGAAAAAAAACCAGTTTGAATGTCAATCATATACGAAGTTAAAGTGTAACTCCCTCAGAAAATCCCTTAAAGTTGTGTCAAATGTGGTTAAGGCATTAGGGGTAGAAAAACCTTAGGACTTTGAATAGTTGACATTTTATAAATAGTTATTTTGCAGAAAATCAACATATCAATGACTTCTGCTGACTTCTGGGCCGGTGATACCCTTTCGAGAGAAACTTCCGACAGCAGGGAAATCGACCAAGTAGTCATAACTCATCAATTATACCAGGCTTCTTATTTGATACACCAGAAGTACGATTTGTCTACATACTACTCAACAGTTACACTCTTATCAAAACAGGTGGAATGCCATATCAAATACGAAGTTTAAGAATATTTAAAACCGAACATTCCGAAAAGTTGTGCCAAATACGGCTTAGGCAATCTCTGCCTGGAGTTGAAAAAAAACCGTAGTATTTCGAATAATTCAACATGTGATCAAAAGTAAATATACAGAAATTTAACATATAAATGATCTTGTCAACACATTAGTGCTGACTACTGGACTTGTGATACCACCAGGGACAAAACGTGATAACCCTTAATAGTTATCGCTGTTTTATATTCAAGTAAGTTAACAAAAAAGTCTCCTAACTGCTCCACGAAACCTCTTTCCAAATTATGAACTTATATTTTATCAGCAATTAAAACTTGGCTTTAGAGTTACTGTGAAACTACCTACTCTAGGGGTGGTGTTTATCTGATATGGATACTAAAATCCGAAGATATGTGGGAGTACCTACAATCAAAGTATTTCTCATCATGCAACAGTATTCTTCATTCTAAATTTAAAAACAGAATGATAAAATTATTATTCTTTTTTTATATACAGATGGCCAACGCAAATACAATAAGATAAACGGTAGCAATTTTACTGCACCAGATGCTCAATATGGACAATTAATGTCTCTTCAGTGATGATCTAGGCCAAAATATCTGGAAATCCATAACTTATACAAACGTCAGGAACGGAAAAATCATACTTCGGGGAAACATAATCTTATTCGAGCAAAAAGTTCAATGATGCTGACATTTCGAAAATGCTGGATTTACTTATTGACAACATATTTGTTACGTTTTGAGGACTTCTTTTCTACAGCCAATTGCATTCCTATGGGAACTTACTGTGCCCTTCTGCATGCTGAGTTGTACCTTTATTCTCATAAGACAGCTTCCATACAATAAGTATCTCAAGAAAAAGAAAAAAAAAACAACAGCTGACATTATCCTTTAACTCCACTTTCTGCTATGTAGCTGATGTTCTCTCAATAATTCAAAGATTGGTGACTTAATTGACTGCATCTAGAAGTTGAAATTAGGGATACAACAGATACAGCTAAACTAAAGATTGAAAATATGGATCGGTTGAGAACCAAACTTAACAGTAATTTGTACCGATTGAAAATGGCGATTTAAATTTTCCAACTGTGGGCTTTTCATTTCTGTGTAACAACATTCAAGAAGTGACTGCATATGGATTATATATCTCCCAGTTGATAATATATACCAGAGCTAGCATTTCTTACCATTCTTTCATTGATGGAGGGTTACTGCTTTCAAAGAAACTATTGCATATCGGGTTCCAGGTGATAATGGTTAGGTCATCCCTTCTACAGTTTGACGAACCGTCATGATTTGTCGAAAATGACCACGCTTATGTTCAACTTGACGTTGCCACAATCCCGTCTTTATTTCCTTATTACCGAATGCGATCTTTTTTACTTACATATAAAACACGGTGTATGCCACATGTTGAACGGGATCTGCCTACCCTTGGAAGCATCAGAGTTCACCCATAGGTTTGTTTATAATGGGTTCATGTTGCTTCCTCTTTAGTTTTTAGTGTTGTAATATGTGTTATTATATTTTTTAATATCTGTGTTGTCTCTACCGATACAATTCTGTTTTATCCTTCGTCATTGCAACATTATTTTCATTAGAAACGTTCACATTCATAAGTCTAAGGGTAAGAGAAATAAAATGTTTCGATGTGTTTTGTATTTAGTGATTTCGTAAGGTTAGACAAGAGACATTAATCAATCCGCCTAAATAATGGATAATTATGACTTATCACTGTTTAAAGAGAAACACAAGAGTATCACGTGTAGAGCAGGAACTGCAGACCATTTCAGAGCATCTGAGTTTAACCCCCGTTTTGTTGGGGTTCGGTGTCTGAGCGGAAAACTAATGAGCCATGGTTTTCTAAAAAAAATCATCGGAAAGTACCAAGACCTAATAGATAAATATTCAGTGTCTGCTTCATAAATAATACAAGATGGTCTTAAAGATTAAAGTTATAGATTGTAGGTGCTGAAGCTGTGTACCTTTTAATTTACTTTCCAGTTTTCCTTTATTTGTCTTCGTGATAATTTGTAGTTTTGGTCGTGTGACTTTTGACATAAAAGTGTATTTGTGCATCCCGCTATCGTGTTTTTGAACTTGAGCGTTGCTGATTCCGGTTGGTCCTAAGGTGGGATTCGGACGCAAGAGTTTTTTACAATGTTGTTTCCATTTTGTTAACCCTTGTGTTTATATTTTATCAAGAAAATGTATACTATATATGGTATTTACTATCAACTACAAAAAGTTTTTTTATTGGCTTCTTTGTCAATATACTATCAACTACGAAAATTTTGTTGTTGATGTCATTTTCAAATTTAGTATCAATTTCAACTTTTTTGTTGGCGTCTTTGTTAGATTTATTTGTATGTTTGTTTGAATTTTTTAATCAGTTGTGTTGTATGTGTGTGATCTATGTTCGCATAGTATTGGCTGATGCATCCCACTTATTGTCACATTAACTTCTCCCTTTGTGAATTTACCTTGAGTTCGGTATTTTTGTTGTAACTTTTTTTGTATTGTTCAGTCTTTTGTTTCTGTGTAACGTTTTGTTATTGCTGTTTTAATTTTCGTCGTTTTAAATTTTGGTCATGGTATTGTTTGTTTTTATTTGAATTATGATTTTTTATTGGCCGCTTTGGTATCATTCGTCATTCTCTCTCTCTCTTTCTTTCTATTCATGGACTGTATCTTTATTCAACAAGCTCTATAAACTACTACACCATTGATATAACAGAGGATACGATATCCCGTTAGTAATAAGATACAATCAAACATCCACACCAAATCTTTGGATCTATGAAAGAATTCAACAAAGTTTTAAATAGTTTATGGTAACGAAATCCCTTACGTAATTCTTTTCCAGTTATTCATTTACTACTCTAATTGAAATTCAAAATAATAATTAACAATTTGGAACAACAAACCGTCTCTTTATTTCGTAAATTCTTTTATACTATAAATGAACTAGTTGATATTGAGCCTGACACATGACTGCAAACACGTGATTAACAAGCCAGCTGTGAAATAATTATCGGCATTATGGAAAGAAAATTTAACAATAGGAAATTACAATTTGAGTTGTGTGTCTTACATTTCGTACAAAAAATTCTCACATCAAGGTCTACTAAAAACAACAATCAACAGAAGATGGAATGGAATCAACCTACGATGTAACTTATCTTACAAACAAACATAAATTTGGTCTTGTGTTATTCACACCAATGTCTTATATTGGGAAGAATTGACAGCTCACAAACATGTTTATCCCGCCTCATTTTGTATGTGATTGTCCCAAATCAGGAACCTGTAAATCAGTTGTTGTCGTTTGTTGCTGACATTTTTCCGTCTAATCTGGTAGTATTTCTTCAAATACATTTTGCCACATTTAGAACGCATTAAATTTATATGGCGAGAGAAGTGACGGTAAAAAATTTATGTTTTTGAACATGCTTCCTTAATATGACAAATAAGTCTTAAGATATTGACTTGTATTATGAAAATACTTAGAATGTTGTGTTATGGCAGATGTTTGAAAGTCTCTATTTACTTCGAATTACGGTGATTTGCAAATAGCTTTTTTGTTTAGAAACTCGTCAACTATACAAAAAAGTATATTTACCTCGTGATGTCCTTGTGATTTTTGTGTTGTTTGGTTAATGTCTCGTTAATATTTATGCACTTCTCCGTTTATTTATATTAATTTTTAATAGAAGAAGATCACAATATTTTTGAAAGACGTTGTTATAAATGTATTATTGAAAACAATACCTTTAATTGTGTAAATATGAAATACATATAACATACATAATGAAAGGAACCAATAGAGTCACAACCAACCAATGAAAATAAATGCCACCGATTCATTGACTTCCGCTCAAGTTAGTTTTTAGGTGAAAACGTTCTTGATTACTGAAAATTGTAACCGTATTTCATTACGCTTTAGAAGATCGGAATTCATCCAATGAAGTTCTCTCTAAATTGACGTCGGAAACGTAGGAATGTCCACGGATTTTCCTTATTACCACCACAACTATCATAACTAGAGCTTCAAATACTTCACAGATACATAAAAGTGAAGCTCCAAGACACAGTCCAAGTGATCCACCGACATCTGATATCAACTGTGTAGCCTATAATTCAAATCTGATATTAACTGTTTAGATTATAAAATAAATCAGATACCAACTGTATAGTTATAAAATTAATAAATGACATAAATAGAATAAAACACATTTTTTTTACTTATTAAACGACGCCAAAGTAGTGCTCAGTGGTAACATGTCAGCTATTCTCATATACATGATTTATATATATCCGTTTTTTTTCTCTCTCCAAAAACAGCATAATGGTAATGTAGGACGATATAAAAAGATTATTATTTTTTATTTAGCTTAAACGTTGAATGAGTTAGATAATAAATGGAATGAGCTTCTTTAGAAATTTATTTTGAAATCAAAGATCATCTCCAACACGAATAACTATCAGTCCTTAAAACGCATTTGGTGAGTTTGGTCCTTTAAATTTGTTTCTGTTCTTAAATACTCATCATAGAAACCAGGATTAAAATATTGTTCGCCAGACGCGCGTTTTGTCTACAAAAGACTCATCAGTGACGTTCAACGTTGTTTTATTTTTGGATTCCAATACAGGTGGACATTTCCCTGGCAGAAAATTACTATTTATTTATCTTATTTTTTTCTGTTGTATTCGTGTGTTATGGTAAAGGAAGTACACCACTAATTCATGGCCCCATTGCTTTCTATGTTAAATTCCTCAATTTCAAGCAGACACAGCTCTTTTGTTTCAAGTTCAAATAAAGTGACAATCATTGCATGTCAAAGCAACACTTTATGGTGTCTTGTACTGGAAAAATCAACATACCTTTAATGGCATATAAGAAAGAACTGGTTCCCGGAACTTCGGATGTACCAAAACAGGTACTTCAGATCTGACATACAGGCAAAAAGTACCCTCTTTATAATATTTGGTGCAGTTTTTTTAATATTCAAAATTATAAGTCAAAAAGTGTTCTACAATGACCACCAGTCATTCAGCTTTCATTTGATACCAACAATACCTAAATATTCTACATATTTTGAAAGTTACACTCATGCGTAGGAACTATTTTGTGTTAAATATGTACTACTTTCTGGTATGTGCTTTCTGGCCGGGCCGAATTAGTGGTGTTACACCTATTACAGAACCAAACTTGCTATACTGACTTCAGCATCACTTTATTTCATTCTATGATCTATTTCAAGCAATAAAAAACACATAAAGCTTATGTCCAAATACTATTTTACTAATTTTAAGCTCAAATTAGACTGGTAGTAACATATAGGTTATTCAAAGAAAACTGCATATGGATATTATAAATGGCCAATATACTTATTTTATTCTCAATATCATTGTTGTATTTAATAATTTCTGTTAGGAAAACAATGTGCTTACCAATAGTCATAATTTACCAGAGTTTGTTCATTTAATAAAAATATATTAGACCAAACCTAAGACATAATTGAGAAAATTGTCCCCCCTTTTTTCTTCAAATTGGAAAAGGGACATTTTTGGTATAAACCATACTTCTGTGGTACAACATAGATTATAAAGAGCAATTTATATATTTTTCAGCTGGATAACTTGCTAAACTGGTTCAAAATTGCATGTACAGTGAGATTTTGGAATTCTTATATGAGTATATACCAATTGCCTAGATTGTAAAAGGCTATCATAAGAAAACCAATAAAACTTGAAAAATCATAGGATTATTTGACCAAGAGCTATTTTTTTACCATAAACAAGTCATTATATACATGTTTTATTGATTGCAATCCCAAATAATGCAAAAATAAGAATTTGGAGTCAAGTCTTAACTGCATGCATGTTGTGTGACCATAAAAGGCTAAAATACCTGATTATGTCAATTTAAGAGCTGAAATTTCCCATAAACAGAATTGTTCATCCAAAAAAGATGATTAAACATGTTTACTTACATCAAATATGACTTATTTTTATTGGAATAGGTACAACTTCTAAAAATTGAATTTCTGATGATTCTCTGTAATAGGAAGTACACCACTAATTCATGGCCCCATTGATTTCTATGTTAAATTCCTCAATTTCAAGCAGACACAGCTCTTTTGTTTCAAGTTCAAATAAAGTGACAATCATTGCATGTCAAAGCAACACTTTATGGTGTCTTGTACTGGAAAAATCAACATACCTTTAATGGCATATAAGAAAGAACTGGTTCCCGGAACTTCGGATGTACCAAAACAGGTACTTCAGATCTGACATACAGGCAAAAAGTACCCTCTTTATAATATTTGGTGCAGTTTTTTTAATATTCAAAATTATAAGTCAAAAAGTGTTCTACAATGACCACCAGTCATTCAGCTTTCATTTGATACCAACAATACCTAAATATTCTACATATTTTGAAAGTTACACTCATGCGTAGGAACTATTTTGTGTTAAATATGTACTACTTTCTGGTATGTGCTTTCTGGCCGGGCCGAATTAGTGGTGTTACACCTAAAGATAATTAATCACCTAGTTCATTAATTAGATTTTAGTTTGTGTCAACTAAATTTATACGATATATTTGGTTTACAGTTTGATTTATAAGAAACACCGACATAGCTAGATAATACTATTAATTATCTAGTTACTACCACATTTTATATTAATTAGTATTGTAATTTTCATTGTTATTAATAAATGTTATATGAGTATAATAAACTAAATCTTGAATTCTATCCTCATTCTATCCTATTTTGGGGAAATTTCAGAAATTCAAATGTGACGTCACTTTTTTGCGTTGATCTCTTTGGCTAACTCGGCTGTGAATTTTTATGTGCTGGTTTATGTTGTTTTATGTATCCGTTTTTATTCTGTAGTTAGTCACCACTTCGGTGTTATCATGTATATCTATTATATAGTCATTTTTATAAATTTACTGTTTTCAAAAGTATGAATTATTCTAAATACTAAGGATTTTCTTATACCAGACATATAACCTTAGCCGTATTTGGCACAACTTTTTGGAACTTTTGGTCCTCAATGCTCTTCAACTTTGTACTTGGTTTGGCTTTCGTACTTTTTTTATCTGAGCGTCACTGGTTCGTCTTGTGTGGACGAAACGCGTGTCTTGCGTATTAAATTTTAAACCTGGTACCTTTTGTTAGCTATTATTCGTATGTTTCTCTGTCCTATATGTTCTCCCATTTATTTGTATTGTAGTCCTGTCATGTAATGTCGTCATTTTAATGTTATATTTAATATTGCCATAAAAGCGGGAGGTTTGGTTAGCCACAAAACCAGGTTCAATCCACCATTTTTTTCTTAAAATGTCCTGTACCAAGTCAGGAAAATGGCCATTGTTATAGTATAGTTTGTTTCTGTGTGTGTTACATTTTCATGTTGTGTTTCTGTTGTGTCGTAGTTCTCCTCTTATATTTGATGTGTTTCCCTCAGTTTTAGTTTGTAACCCGGATTTGTTTTTTTCTCAATCGATTTATGAATTTCGAACAGCGGTACAATACTGTTGCCTTTATTGAGAACATTTTTGTGCTGAGTTCCATAAAATGTAATTCAATACCCAAATAATGATAATAACTATACCGATGATACAAATAACATAGAAAAGAATATAACTTTACATACGTCATATAATGGCTCTTCAGAAATAACTTCATAGTTTAAATCTTCAAAGTAGATATTAACCTTCACAAAATTATTTCTGAAAAGAGACATATTAGTAAGTGAGTTAATTTGTTACTATTTGATCAAATATATTGAATACAGTTTTTCTGCCACTGTTATATCCTTAAAAATTGTCATTCATTTCATTATTACAAAACGCTTATTATCTCATTTTGACGTAAAGAGTAAATCTTTTTTTAACATAAAAATGCCTACTTTGAAATAGAGATAAATCGGACTTTGACAAAAAGAAACATAATAACCAAAAGCTATTGGATGCAATTATAATATTGATATAAAAGGACTGTACATTACCTTATGCTGTCCAATGTTTTCAAAGCACACATATAATCATACCAAGTTGTATGGTTTAAATCATATGTTCCGCATGCCTGATCAGTAAGTTCGTTCTGTTTAAGACAAATGTAAATATGTATAATCTGTACTCGATAAACGGACAACTTATAATGAAGAAATATCAGTTTTGGTAATTACAGGATCATTTGACTTTTAAAATTAGCCCTGTTACATTTATGTTCCAATTTTTTTTTTTTTTGTAGTTTGTTTCTCAAACAGTTTACGGCTTAGGGCTTCATGGTTAACGTAATAATTTATCAAAGATACCAGGCTTATAGGCTGAAAATTTTAGTACGACAAACAAGCGGTTTGCCCTTATGAGACTCTTCAATGGTGCTCAAATTAGACAAGTTGAAAGGCCAAAAGTTGAAGAGAATTGAAATGCAAAACCTCCAAAAAGTCAACCAAATCTAGCTTTGTCCATCTATGTATGGGGTATCAAAAAGTGGTTCAAAGGATTGTTTTTAACATTTTATAAAGAGTAAATAAACAGACAATGACCATTTTAATGATATTTCATCTCAGAACAGAAGTGCATATGAGATGAAACGTCCACCAGTAGTGTTTTGGTCCCGTGGTTGTAAATACACATCGAAGATACCAGGTTTCTAATTGTATAGGGGATATAATTAATCATATTAGAGATCGCCTTGGCTGTTGTAAAGAAGTATGTCAATTTAACTTGACTTCATGTTACCAGTGCTGTATTGTTCAGAATTTTCTATTGCTTTCAAGCAAGTATGTATTTGTGATAAGTCGTTTCCTCAGCATTGTCTTGAACAAGCTTTGTTTCATAAACAAATGACATCTAAATTTTCTAAATCATTAATTGAGTTTATTTTTTTACCTCAGGCAAAGTTGACCTTATAATACTAAATACCAAACTCGTTCAAAAGGTATCTACACGTCTCAATCTTCAAAATCGCTTATCTAAAAATACTACAATCGCTTACATTTTTAATTATAAAAATCGTGGTTACCCTTCTATTGATAAGTGTCATGCCAAAAAATGACTTACATGTCCCCGTCTTTACACCAACAATACGGTAAGGTTCACGTTTAATGGTCGCACATTTTCCTTAAATTTTGAAACTGATATAAATTGAAAAACTAACAGTATTATCTATTTACTCACATAAAACAAACCGAGATACGGTATTCAGTACGTAGGTAAAACTGGACGCTTTTTATCTAAACACACGCAAGAACACCTTTAACGTTTTAAAAGATCCCATAAATTCAAAAGTATCATTAATCAACACCTTAAGAAGCACAATCATCCTATTAAATATTTAACAGTTCAACCTTTAGAAGTAGTAAATAAGCAGCCTGGGGAATCTTATTCAAAGTTAGTACGATCACGGAAAATAATTGAATTAAATTGGATTACAGTCTATCCTCTCGGTCTTAATGATAATATCATGGGAATTGGTAATATATCAAGAACCGATTCTGTTAACGTTTTGGATATAGTTTCTAAAACTGTTCGTAAAAACCGTTCTCATGGGCGTAGAATAAATCGCAGTCAGAGAAAATTTCGTACCAACAATACAAATATTTCGGACCTAATTACTATTTAAAAAAAACAACGGCAGACATTATCTGTTAACCAAGCTCTGTTCTTTACCTGTTAATAAATTACATCAAATTTTAGAGGATTGCAACACAATTCCGTTTTGCAGTCCTAAGTATGAAATCGTCCAAATTATAATTGCATATTGTCATTCTAAACTGTTTCCCAAAATTGATCGCCCTGAAGATCAGAAAAACATTTTATTAAAATCAAATATGTCAATAAAGGTTTTGATTTTAAATAAATTTATTCAAATAAGGCCTTTGAAAATAGTGGAATTAATTATTTTTGGAGTGTCAAAAATTCGTTGGAAGTACTTGATAAATTGCATGTTTATATTGGTGATTTCGAATCTGTTCAAAGTTTTGATTTTTCTACCCTATATACCACTTTGCCTCATAACCTTATTAAAAAAAAATTCACACACCTAATTCAATGGGCATTTAAAAAGTCAGAATGCGAATATATATGTTCAAACTCTTTTAGGTCATTTTTTAGTAACAACAAACAAAAGAACTATGTCAACTGGAACTGCTTTGATACAATAACTGCCCTTGAATTTTTACTCATAACATTTTTGTTCGCTATGGAGATTCCGTATATCGTCAAGTTAAGTTATCGGAATTCCAGTGGGGACTAACTGTGCACCACTTTTTGCGGACCTGTTTCTGCATTGTTATGAGTTACAATTTATGACTAAAATCAGCAAAAACCCATCGAAACAACATCTGATACAAAAATTTAATATTACGTTTAGATATTTGAATGATATATTGGCTCTCAATAATGACGACTTCAGTATGTACACAAAAGAGATTTATCCTGCTGAACTGGCTTAAAATAAAGCTAAAACTAATGAACACTGCCCTCTCCTGGATCCTGATATTTATTTCTTTAACGGGAAGCTTAATACCAAAATTTATGATAAAGGAGATGATTTTTCATTTCCTATTGTTAATTATCCATTTTTAGATGGTGACGTTCCCTTGTCACCATCTTATGGAGTTTATATATCTCAACTTGTTCAATTCGCTCGTGTATGTAGCAACGTATTTGATTTGTAACGAAAGAAATCTCTGTATTATTGAAAAATAGTTACACCAGGGTTTTCGATATCACAAACTAGTCAAAACATTTACTAAATTTTATCATCGGTACAAGGACATCATTCGTAAATATAAATCAACATGCAGACATCTTATCTATACAAAGCATAAAAATGTTGGCACTCACCTCAAAAAATTTACCAAACCTTTAAACAGATTTATTCAGAAGGGATATAGTTATGATACTATTGCCAGGTCATTAAAGATGGCATATTTTGGTATTGATATTGATTCACTCATAGGGTTTTTGCATCGGAAATAAGCACATTTATTCTAAAACCAGTTGTTGGCATGATACGGGTATATGTTCTTATATTTTATGATGGTATGATACTAAACCCCTTACGGTAGGGATTGTGCTTAATTTTCATATGATGAAGACATAATCTTTCAATCAGTTTAATTGAGGTCTGGAGCTGGCATGTCAGTAACTGCTAGTAGTCCTTTGTTAATTTATGTATCATTGTCATTTTGCTTCGTTTCTTTTGTTACATATTCTGACATCGGACTCGGACTTCTTTTAAACTGAGTTTTACTGTGCGTATTGCTGTGTGTTTGTTTATTCTACATTGGCTAGAGCTATAGGGGGAGGGTTGAGATCTAACAAAACATGTTGAACCCCGAAGCATTTTTGCGCCTGTCCCAAGTCAGGAGCCTCTGGCCTTTGTTAGTCTTGTATGTTTTTTAATTTTAGTTCGTTTATATGTTTTGGAGTTTAGTGTGACGTCCATTTTCACTGAACTAGTACACACTTTTATTTAGGGGCCAGCTGAAGCCCGCCTCTGGGTGCGGGATTTTCTCGCTGTGTTGAAGACCAATTGGTGGCCTTCGGCTGTTTTCTGCTCTTTGGTCGGGTTGTTGTCTATTTGAGACATTCCCCATTTCCATTCTCAATCTTAGATGGATTTGCCTATTTTTTTAGGTAATTTTTTGGTCATATATAGCTCTTCAAATGTTTCCGTTCCTAAACATCCTAGGCTTTCACATATTCGGCGTTCATCGTTCCTGATGAAAGGAAATCCAGAAAAGCGCTTCGGACACATGTGATTTATAACGTGTTGTTTTCATTTTTTCATTTAATTGATTAATGCTCTCCAATCGTAGATTTAGTCTCTGAATTCTTTAAGGTACTGATCTAACTTAAAGTAATAGAATTTTGAAAGGAGATCAGATCAGTTTAAAAATGTGATAATTCGGGATAACCAGTGAAACACTTTGAATATCACAGGTACAGAACGTGATTACGGTTCACCCATATGGTAAGCTTTATCGGTCGTCCCACTGTCTGTATCACTCGGCTCAGTTCTTAATAAAATTGCATATCACGGCTTTGTAACGTCCAATACGTTGACCCGGCCTAAATAAATTTGACCCGGACATATCACCGGCGTCATAATTAACGAACTTATCAAGTCATCTTCCGGTTTGCTGGTGAAACGAATAAAACACTTGTTTCTGTCATGCAAAATATGCAAATACAAATACAACTCGATAAATCGATTATTTGATTGTCTGCATATTTATATTATAAAATATCAACTGCTCGACACAATATGAAGCTTTTTTGAACTGATTCGCTGCGCTCCCTGGAAAACTTCATATTGTGACTCGCAGCTGATATTTTACAATATCAATATGCAGACAACCTGATAATCGGTACTTATCATCTTTTAGAATGGTTACGTTATGATTATTACAATAACAAAATGCTAAATGTGGAATGCATACTATATAAATAACACATAGCTGAGAGGGTGATAGAGCAGATTGTTACCCCGAGAAAACATTGTCAACTGAGGCGAAGCCAAGGTTGACAATGTGTTTTCGAGGGGTAACAATCTGCTCTATCACCCTCTCAGATATGGGTTATTTAACTTATTATACTGAATGTTCTGTTATTACTGTCGATTAAATTTCAATTTCAAAGTAATAAACTATGACGTCTTGTACATAACAACCATCCGTATTTAATAAAGCGCACACTTGATCAAGCGTCTCCGTGAAGGGTAATAGAGTATTTGCCATAGGATAGAGTCGTATTTAATAAAGCGCACACTTGATCAAGCGTCTCCGTGAAGGGTAATAGAATATTTACAATAGAATAGAGTAAATTAACACCCTCGTATAAGCCAATCAAAATATAGCATTTTTACGTGAAGTATAATAATACATATTATCATATTTACCAATTTAGTCTGGTGTGGCCATATCCGCCCAGAGAATGTAGAAGTGTAACTATTTTCCCTGTTGGAAATATTCAAAAGTATTATTAACAAGACTTAAAAATGGGTCACCACAAAACCATTAATAGCAATGAAATTAGTCTTAAAACAACCATTTGAACCGTCACATAATCTAAATATCTGAACATAAAATTGTAAAGTCGTATTTAAAAAAATATTTCCCCAATACTGTTTAGACAGTTCACTTTATTCATATAATTGAATATTGTTAAATCCCTTTTCAGAATATTCAGGTTTTTATTAATCATAATTTACAACAAACGAAATGTCTGAACATTACGGAATTTACCGCAGTGAGTAGGTCTTCAAATTGAATGAAATACTGAGCATATCTCACACAAATATGGTAAAGCATTTTAAGATCGGTGTGAATCAAGACTACCGTTTTATTTCCAAATCTATTTATAGGTTTTTGCGTATGTTTCTTTGTTATAAATAATAAGTGTGTCGTACACACTGAGATTTAATTTTGCATACATAAAAGGGAAAGGAATTAGAAGAATACACCAGGAAAACCTTAAATTAGAGGAAACAGTGTTTTGTCGATGTTCAAATCATCTAATAATTCTCTTTCAATTAAGAAGATTCAAATGAAGGTAGAAAAGAAAAGCGCAATCGCATTAACCCCAAATGAGGCTAGACCGGTAGTGTCGACCGGGTAGGCTTCTTCTAAAATGCGTGCAAAAACCGCCATGCGGGGATATGGCATATTAAGAATATAACATATAGATTAAAAGACTGTTCTTTTATCTAAAGATAGTAGAACCTCGTTAAGTCAAAGTCGAAGGACCGGACGAAAGTATTCGACTCATCCGCTGTTCCACTCATCCGATGTCGAATGTTTCGTAATAAATTTGAAATGCATAACTTAAGATATGAGATTTGTGTAAACAAGATATTTTGAACATTACGCCTATTTTTGAAAATTTAGGATCGTGTATTCAAGCTCCTTAAATTTTGGTTCATCATAATAATAAAACACATAAGTACAGATACAAAACATTCACAAATAAAATCAATACACAAATATTTACAAAGGTCAGTCACTGTAATTTATGGAATCACTCGCGGAACGAAACAAGTCCTGAAAGATCACCGATGAGGGTCGTCTACTTTGCATTCAATTATTGAAAATGTGTGATAAAAGTTCAAATCCTTTTAGCTATTTTAATTTATTAATTTTAATTCAAACAATTCATTCAATCGCGGCTTGAGTCATTTGAATTCGTTTTGCTTTTATATCAGGTTAAATATGTGCATCTTACTAAAGTTCCGCTTGGACGATCAACATAGGTGTTAATTACCGGTCACCTGAAACATGTCTTTTAAACTGTTATACAAATAAGTATGTTTATACACCTTTAATCACTTTGAATTTTTACCTTTAAGTCTGCATTTTTTGAAATATATAAATTTCAAACTTCGTGACATTGGGGGTCAATTTACATTAATTGTCCATCGACGGGACTATAAAATTTATTCCACTTAACCGAGAATTCGAATCAACCGAGTTCGACTTAACAGAGGTTAAAATGCATTGATTAAACGGGAATTTTTAGGGACCGAGCAATTACTTCGACTCATCCGAGTTTTTGACACAACCGATTTCGACACAAGTTTCGAATGTAGAAGACCGCTAAAATATGTACTATTGAGTCAGGCATGGGGTAATCATAATCAGCAATCGTAATCAGCTGTAATAACATTAACGGTACCAATTTTACTGCACCAGATGCGCATTTCGACAATCAATGTCTCATCAGTGATACTCGCGGTCAACAATTATAAATGGATTACATTTTGCTATGTAATCACATGTTATCAGTAATCATTCATTTTTTTTATTACAAGTAATCGTAATGTTATCGATTACATTGCAAAAACAGGTGAAATCATGATTACTTTTAGATTACATTCATATGATTGCTTGATGATTACAAATGTTGGAGACCTAAATTTGTTTGCTTATATACATGTACCATCATGAATAAAAAATCATGCTAACACATCAAACTTATGTTGACTTTGATTGACATGGTTCAATATCATTGATATTCATTAATAATAAAAAAAAATTGAAGTTTAGTATAACTATGCTTAATATCTAATTTCAGACTTAAATTACTCAATTAGCAAAACAGTGAAACATTTATTTTTTACACTTCATTGATCATACTGATTTGAACTAGAATTGTATTAGTATATACTCTTGGATTCTTCTCACTAGTTATTTTCACTCTTTTTATTGTATATGTAAATTTCCTTTGTTGTAAAATTCTTATTTATACTATTACAAAGTTTTATCTTTACTTTTTGAATTGGTATTATTTTGAAATTTCTATAAGATGTCTGCTTTGAAACATTTTGTGTTCCCTGATGAAGCACCAAATTTCATAGACTGTTAAGGCAAAAGTGCAAATACTGCTCAATATACATCTCTGTTAATGCCAAAACAATATCAAGCTTCGTGACACATTTAAAGTTAAGTTAAATTTAATAATTATTGTATTGGTGAAATATTATTGACATTTTCGTGATGGACCAAAAGTTATAGTAAGGAAACAATATCTACAAATTGATATCTTTTAGCCTATTTGAAATCTGTTTAATGTAGACATTTCAAACATGTATCGCTATTAACCATTTACATTTATACACAAACAAATGCATACTTTTGAAAATAATTCCAATTTTAGTTTACACAAAATTACATTTTAACTACGTGGACATTTAAAAAATTAAAACGTTTGTTTTGGGGATTCAATTTCAATGACTATGTGTCTATGAATAATAATGAAATTTAGAATCAATCTTTTTTTTACAGTTGCATAAATATATTTTTTTTTTTAAATTATGTGGTTTTTAAATATCCAATACAGAAATATGTCATACAATCATGTATGTAATTAATATAAGCAACTTATAACCTTATTTGATAATACAATTAACACAATGCATTTTCATTACACAAGCTCATCTATTGTTTGTCATAAAATTTTAAATTGGGATTAATACCAGTAAACATATGTATAAATGTCAATTATGTCTCAAGGCCAAAGATAATAAGACTGCTTGATCATTAATTTGTCACTATTTGTTCAATTCTTTTTGTTATAATATTAATGAAACTAATGCTATTTCTTTTACAGAGAAAGCACAGAGACATTTTCATTGAAAGTAAATCTGAGATTGGTACAAAGATATCCAAAACAAATATAAGCCACTATACAAAATCAACACCAGTTTCAAAATATTCTGCAAATGATGCTTCTCAAATACAGATTACAGATGATTTGGTTTCATTCGTAGCTGGGAATCTAACACCATTCTCAGTTGTAGAGAGTCCCGAATTCAAGGCCTTTGTTGAATCAATGAATCCAAAATATCAACTTCCTAGCAGGAAACATCTTTCTACCAAACTATTACATAAGAATGCAAGCAATATTCAATTAAACATAAAGGAAAAATTACGCTCAGTAGAAAGTGTGTGCTTGCATGATCGATTTATGGTCTAATCGACAGATGAAGGGATTCTTAGGAATCACAGTTCACTTGAGACTTGATTGGTGCATGAAGTCCATAATGGTATTATGCAAACGTTTCAAAGGCAAACACTTTGCTGAGAATATACTTCAGAAATATGAAGAGGCAGTTGCTTGTTACCATATTGCAGAAAAAAATTACTGACATTATAACAGACAACGCTGTAAACATGACAAAATCATGTGACTTCAGCCTCCCTGGATATTCATGTAATCCTGAGGAACAGAATTCTAAGTCAGACAGTGACAGACAGTGAAGATGAAAATGACGATTCTGAATTGGAACCTATTAATATTGATTTCCTTGATGGTGATTTACCAAAAACACAGTAGATGTTATGCTCATGCAGTACAGCTGGTGTAATAGAAGGATTAAAAGAAGCTAGTCCGCATTTAAAAACAGTTATCAGTAAAGCATCAAATATTGTAAAGTATGTGCGAAAATCTATAAATGCATCAGACATCCTAGAAGGCGAAAAAAGGCTACAGGCTGACAACACAACACGCTGGAATTCACAAATTACAATGATTCGCTCAGTTCTTGAAGTGCATGAAGAAAAATTGAATACATTAAAACCATAAAGCTCACCGAATATGAGCGTAAACTGTTACAGGAACTATGTTTAGTTCTTAAGCCATTTAAAGATGCCACAATAATCGTACAAAAGGAAATAAATGTGTCATGAAGTTTTGCTATTCCAGTTACTGTGGTCTTGAACTCAAACTTGCAGAACTGTATATCACATATAATAAGAAAATGGTTTCAACACTGATGTCTTCAATGACAAAAATACTCTCCATTTATAAATCTGAAGATGTACATCTAATTTCAGCAATATTGGATCTTAACTTCAAATTTAGATGGTCAAATGATCCAGTTGAAAACTTTGTATAAAGGGCATATGGCTGTATCATCAAACAATACAAGTATCACTTTGCTTCTGTTCTAAGTTAGATAACTTGTATGTATTTTAGATATTAAAAACACAATTTTTCTATCAAGTTAGCTTTTTTATGTGAGGACAAAATATTTAAATAAGTTTCTTTGATAGAATACAATGTAATCATAAGTAATCACAAGTAATCATGATTACATTGAAAAAAAGTAATCTAATGTAATCGATTACATTTGCAATTGGTTGTATTTGTAATGTAATCGATTACATAAAATTAGCAAAGTAATTGTTATTTCATCGATAACTATTTAAAGTAGTCGACTCCATCCCTGTATTAAGTTTAGATACAGTATCAGTGTCAGCCGACCAAGTCGCGATGCTCCTCTTCTTGGCGATTTGTTGTATTATTCATATGAAACAGACTTCATACAGTATCTTATGGGGAAGAATGGAGGAAGCTAGCTGTATCCTTTAATATCACATTCCGCTATATAGTTGATGTCCTCTCACTGAATAATCAGAGACTTTTAACCGGATTTATTCTTGCATAAGCAACACGACTGGAGCCAGATTTCGAACAGGATCTTATTACCCTTCCGGAGTACATGTATTCATCCTCCGGAATTTGGTGAGGTTCGAGTTGCTCTATCTTTAGTTTTCTGTGAAGTATTTTGCAGACTTGATACTCTAATGGAGCAGTTTTAGTGCCAAGAGCCTAACCAGTTAATAAAATTCGTAAAGTGGGAATATACACGAGTGTAACGTGTTAATTGAGATATGTATACAGCATATGCAGTTTTTACTTCACTTATTACATACGTTGTCGGCTAGTTTCAAGTGAAAATGTAGTGATAAGAAGAGTAAGCTTAAGTTATTAATGCCGTAAAGAGGAAACGTGCGTGGTTACGAAGGGAAACACATCCGCGTTCATATATAACGCAGATATTTCATTACAGTCAACCTGCTCATGATGGTGCCCGTAAAGCATTCGAAAAGATTACCTACAACTTTACCAAAAGTTCTCTGGATTTAATAGCTTCCTTGAAAACAAAAACACTTTATCAAGAAAATCATAATAGTTTTCAAATATCAACTTGGAGATATATAATGGCGTATACACTTATATATATAATTTTGGTATCAGATAAATAAAAGAAGAATTTTTATTAAGGACATTGCTCTGAAACTGTATACAGAAAAAAAAAACGTGTTTTTATTTTGGTCTCAATCTATTAACGTAATGCTATTTTAATATTCTTACTGCAAAGGGACAACTCAACATTAAGTTTAAATAAATACGATAAATGTCATTTTCTGTTGGATCCGTTTTTGTTTTTTCTTGAGAGTTAAAATATGAATTAAAAGGTGCATGGGCACTCTATACTCACATTTCCCATAAGGCTCATGTATTACCCATGGTTCAAAATGTGCAGATTAAGGATTTGATCGAAGCAACTTTTCAGGGTTTCAACAACTTTGCTTACGTTTTGTTTCGAAAGTTATATATATTTTTTATTACCTTATGAAATTGTACAATAAAAGTATCCCGCATTGCCAAATATATGTAATATGTTACCATCATTTGACGTCCGTCGTCTGTCCGTTAACATTTCACATGTTTTCGAACCACTCAACAAAATTAAACCAAACTTGAGATGTTCCTTACAAAATCCTCTCTGAGTGTTGTTCCTTTGGTTATAATGCCTTCACTAACAGACACTGCACCAATGGTCTTTCTTAATTTCTGATTAGCTGAGCTAAAGACTAATATTTCTCAAACCAGCTGAACCAAATGATTCCAAACTTTACTGATATATATTCATGTGAATAATTCTAACAAGTCTTTGATGGCGATCAGCAATTGAAAATTGCCTTCAGCTGAGGTCAAATATTGAAATTTCACGTTGCTTTTGTATTCAAGAGCAGATAAAGTCAAATAAAGACCAACCATTCAAAATTCTTTAAAACGTACTTCAACATAAAATAGAAAAAAAGAAAAAAAACCTGCACAGGCAAAAATTTAATTTGAAACGCGATAGAAAATTACGTTTCATATATGTTAAAATACAGATGAAAGGAATTGAAAACATATCATGCAGAAATGCTTGAGAAAGGTGCTAACCATATATCAAAACTTTGGTTCTGATGAAATGCATATTTTTTGCTCTTATCAAAATAAATTCTGTGTAGGAATTGGGCCCCTAGAACCCTCTAGTTATACATAAGGCAGAGTTATTTAGACGTTGCCATCTATATCTTTCAATCAAACTTTAAAAAGTGCTGTTAGCTTTTTGGTGATTTCACAGTGTAAATCAGCAGAGATATTCCAAATAAGACATATTCTGTTAATCTGAAAAACAATGCATGCAAGCAAACGTAGTTTTACTAATTTATGCTTACAGACAAGGCTGTGGGCATTCACAATATCGCTCTATATCTGATAACAAATCTCTCCTAGCATCAATGGAACATTTCTTTTCTGAAAAAGAAAGTAAAATGAAATACGGAAAAAATAAAAACATTAATATACTTTTATTTTGACGAGTGATGCGGCAAGGTAAATAACATCTGGAATTTGTTTCAGTGAAAAGGACAAGTGTTTATTAGATATCATTCATTATGACTACTTTAGACCAAACATTTGGCAAGCCATATACATAACATCAACTATTGATAAAGCGAAGGTAAATTGCTGATTTTAAAATCTCGATTAGGAAGAGACAAATCAAGGTAACAAACTGAAGCTGAAGGAATTGCATGATTAAAGTAGATGTTGACAATAAATTTGGATGTTTCAAACTTTGGAATAAGTAAAGATAATCTTCAAAACATTTATTATAAAAGTATGAGAGAGATGTTGTCAGAACGAAAGTGACAATTCTACCATAGTAAAAAAATTATAAGTATATTTCAATATTAAATTATCAACAGTATTCAGCAACATACATGTATAGAAGAGTTACGAGTAAGGTAAATCTAGTCACCTTTAAATCAAATGATACTAAATATTGGTTTTCATCACTGCATACGATTCTCCTCAAATTGAGATAGCTTACTCAAATCTGCAAATCTTTCTGAGATATTTGCTACATTTAAAAAATGGCACATTCCACATACACCAGACTTCAGGGTTAAAATGGTCATCTTTTATTATGCTGGTATAATGGGACAAAAAAATGTTAACGTCATAATATAATTTCGATCAGTTAAGAGCTGACAAGGCCAAACATCTTGTTAGTAAATGTTCAGAATATATATATATCCCTAAAGAAATGTTTAAAGATGAAATATATTGTCTTCCTTATTCCAATTATTATTCAATTAATACTAGTAACTATTTTTACTTATTTAATTGATAATGGAAAAATCATGATCAAACAAAGTCTAAAACTTGTGAAATTATAAATACAAACCTGTTTCTGTAAAACAACCTTTAGGTGTCTCTACTTTAACTTCCTTTTGGCCATTGAAACGACTAATTTCAGTATGAACATTTCCAACTTGGCAACCACATCTAGCATATGCCATATTCTCCCAGCATTGTTGAATGCATGCCTGAATATGAAGATGAGACGTGAGCGACGAACAGAATTTATGAATACTCAAGTTTTATAATGCGACACTGAATGACCAAAAGCGTGTTTTCACGAACGTCTGTTGAGTATTTTGCCAGAAGCTTAACAAAGTTATATATTGCATGACTTTTTTATTCTAAATTGTATAAAACAAACTCGGAATAGGCAATGTAAGTCATTAGTTCTGCTAATATGGAGCAAACTGAAACAGTGGCACCGTGTTAATGTGATATGAATATCCTTCTTTTAACTAGACCGACCGACACGCCGAGTCGTAGTTTTAACTTACTTGAATACAAAGTAACAGATCGAAAGAAGACATGCCAACATAAATTTGGACACAGTTCCCTAGACAACCAGTCTTTTCTTTTATTCCTAAATGCCTACTTAACGGAAAAGCAGCATATCCAATTTTCATGTTTTTGGTCTGAACCGGCCAGGGATCGAATCCATGGCAGCGGCTTCTCATATATGGATGTGAATCTTTGTTTAAATTATGTAAATTGCATTTATAATGATATGACCGTAAAGGAAATTGACATATCATGACACAGTGTTTTGTGGATTTAAGATAATTTCAACAGAATTATACCATTTCAACCAATTTTGTTTTGTTAAGATATGAAAAGGATAACATGCATCAATACAGACGTGCAAATGAAAAAAAAAAACAGCGGACAACAGATGGTCCAGAATATTAATATGCAGTACGACTTACCTGCTTTGAAAAACGTATTCCATACTGCTTAAAGTATTCCTTTGGATCAACACAAGTTCCATAAGGTTGACCTTTCCTTTCGATTCTTGTCTGAAATGAATATTCATATAGCTTTCCCAATACATATGTGCGGAAAATAACTAAGATTACTGCAGTAATTTGAAATTAAGGCTAATAAATCATTCAGCAATTACATAACCAAAATACATTCAAACAGAAGTATACAGTGTCGAAGTCCTTAGTTCGAGATTTCTGAAATAGTGGAACTAAATAAATCCAGAAAAATCATGGATGATTTTTAAACCAGGAGTTGTAACGAATCGCAAAAAGTAACGGAAACAGGTACCCAACAAGATATATTGTTTTTATCATGTTTATACTATACTGTGTTTGGTCTGAACCTTAGAATCTCAAATAATAAAACTTGTGATTATACAGAATTTTATCAGTATGAAAATTCTATTAAATTAAGTTGTTTATTTCAAGAATAAAAAGAAGAGAAGACTTGAATGAGAGGTGTAGCACCCCTACATGTTCATAGCCGATACCGATAGCCTACACATTAAAATTTATGTTTTTAGTTATTTTTCTTTGAAAATAATGACTGGAAAAGAAATCGAAAATATGAAAACACAATTCAAGAAAACCTGAAACTTGATCAAGCCAAGTTTAAATATGTTAAGTTTGACGAAAGAAATGGAATTACTTTTTGAGTCACACAACTCGAAATACAGACTTTGATATGGTAATTGTTAGAAAGATCACTTAATACATATCATGACATAGTAAAGCAGCAATTACATGTATTACTGAATTGTTATACTTAGTTCTTACGTTGTGCTGATTTGTTTGGTTTGTTGTTTTTTTTTTTGTTTTTTTTTTTTTGGGGGGGGGGGGGGGTGGTAGCATTAATTAAGAGCGTTGCAATACCAAATTATTAATCATAGAACGTGAAGTTCCGGTTTGCACTCTCATATTTTAAGAAATTTAAGTGTCGTATCGTATTATTTGATTGTTGATCTTCACATTTATGAGATTTGAACATCGATACACTACTATTGGCTATGTTTAAAAGTTATCAAATTATAAAGTGTTTCTATGATCACCATTATTAATCCTATTGAAGTCTCATATCCCCCTGAAATTGTCATTCCCTCTTCCATTGGTAACGGAAAGCTTTTTGGTTCATGAATAACCATCCTCATACCAAATCCTTCAGTAAGATATTCTACTGCCTCGTGATTTTCTAAATTAATGGTAAGCACCATTCCTATAAAATATTTAAATATATAAAAATTCATATGTGTTTGACAGGGCCGAATAGTATTTCTTAAAACTGGTCTGCATTATATTCTTTGTATTAAAACAAATTCTAAATTATTCATTATATTTTCCACTTTGATAAATCATATTCCTTTTATCTAATCTCTATCAAGGGACCTGTACATTTATTTCAACGAATATATATATAGGACCCCTTTGAATACTATTCTTCATCTTACAAAAGGTCTTCAACGATAAAAAGATACATTCAATATTCGTAGAAGCCAAGATGAAACTTTTAATTTTGTGTCGTCGAGCAGCTGATTCATTGATCTATACAGTCAGGAACCTGTTTCAGTGGTTTTCGTTTGTTGATGTGGTTCTTAAGTGTTTCTCCAGGTTCAGGTTCAACCCACCATTTTTTCTTGAAATGTCCTGTACCAAGTCAGGAAAATGGCCATTGTTATATTATAGCTCGTTTCTGTCTGTGTTGCATTTTAGTGTTGTGTTTCTGTTGTGTTGTTGTTCTCCTCTTATATTTGATGTGTTTCCCTCAGTTTTAGTTTGTAACCCGGATTTGTTTTTTTCTCAATCGATTTATGAATTTCGAATAGCGGTATACTACTGTTGCCTTTATTTCTCGTTTCTCGTTTTTTATATAGATTGGACCGTTAGTTTTCCTGTTTGAATTGTTTAACACTAGTCATTTTGGGGCCCCATATAGCTTGCTGTTCGGTGTGAGCCAAGGCTCCGTGTTAAAGGCCGTACTTTGACCTATAATTGTTTACTTTTTACACATTATGAATTGGATGGAGAGTTGTTTCATTGGCACTCATACCACATCTTCTTATTTCTGTATATTGATAATGTAAACACGATTACTGCTTTATTCAGTCGATTATAAATAACTTGAGAATATAATGCAATCGGTACATTAACCAAAACGATTGTTTTGTTATAGACATACAAGTAGAACTAACCGCTTCGTGGTCCGGTACTTCCAGCAACAAACTTTGATGACTGGATTGTAAAACAGTTACCGTATTCATAAGTAACAACATCTTTAATTGTTCTGAAATGTTGAAATTAATAAAAAGTGCAAGAAGCAATATTTCGATCGTTTTGTAGACTGCCTCATATCTTAACTTACATCTAGAAATTGGCAATGAGGGTCAGTTGAGACTGATCTTTATAGTTTGTTCTTATGTTGTTCTGCTACACAACTTTTCCAGGTTAGGGGAGCATTGGTACCTTCAAACATGTTCAACCCCGCAACATTCTTTATATGCCTGTCCTAAATCAGGAGCCTGTAGTTCAGTGGTTGTCGTTGGTTCATGTCTGACATATTTGTTTTTCGTATGCTGTTTTGTTATAAATTAGGCCGTTAGTTTTCACGCTTAAACTGATTCATATTTTTCAGGGGGGGGGGGGGGGGGGGTGGTGGTGTTATAGCTGACTATACGGTATGGGGTTTCTCATTGTTAAAGGCCGTATTGTTGTCTATAATTGATCCACTTCATTTGAACTTTGGTGGATAGTTGTCTCATTGGCGATCATACCACATCTCTTTATTTTTCTGAAACTTTACCATAAAAGAGATGATTGCACCTTCTCAACTGCGAAATTTCCATTTCTATGTAGCTTTATTCCAGCAGTGCCTGCATATGGCGTTTATATCTCTCAATTGATACGATATTCCAAGGATTACATTTCCTATCATGATTTCCCTGAAAGAGGGTTGCTGCTTACAAGGCAGCTGTTAAACCACGAGTTCCAATTGGTTAAGTTGAAATCATTCATTCGAAAGTTTTACGATTTTATGAGTTGGTTAATCGTTATGGAATATCTTTTTCACAGATGACGACGGATATGTTTCAATTGTTGTAACCACATCCCCGTCTTCTTTTCCTCAAATGAGACCTACCGAATTAGGCATATCACTTGGTTTGTACGTATATGATCAACACGACGGTTGCCACATGTGGAACAGGATCTGCTACCCGAGAACCCACTGCTTGGTTGGATTCGTCTTGCGCAGTTTTAATTTTTCTATGTTGTGTTTTGTATACTACCGTTTGTCATTTAGTCGTTTTTCGTTTTCTTTGCCATGACATTGTCAGTTTGTTTTCGACTTAAAGAGTTTGGTATCTTTCGCCTCTCTTTTGATATCTTTTTAGTATATTAGTTTGGCATTTACGCAGTTTACAAATAATTAATCACTTTATTTTAAATGGATGTTTTTAAAATCAAGCTTCTTGATAATGCCAGTTTCATTGAATTTTTGTTAGAATCAGAGTGTTTTTTTTTTAACAAAATACGAGTTATCCCTCCATATTTTAAATTGACATTGAATTCAATTTTTTGTTTCTACGAAAGACCAGTAGGGACATTCTGTTGTTACAATTTTCTATCTCAGTTTCAAGTTGACATTTATCAGTTCCAATTCGACATTTCTCACATACAAGTTGAAACTGTGAGAAATGTCAACTTGGAACTGAAAAATATTAAGTTGGAATAAGACATACAAGATTAGAAAAAAAGAATGTCAAAATGGAAATGAGAAATTAACAAAAAGAATGACATTCCCGTACTAAAGTTACATTTTTTTCAACATAATATAACTTTATAAAATACTATAATATAATTGTTAACATGCCTATGCATTATATATCATGTAGCATGTCTTTACATTATAATTGAGACGTAACTGTTGCTACAAATCATTCCCCGTACGCTTTAAAAAAATAGTACCCTTTACTAGTATTAAAAAACTGAATTCAGACGAGAGTGAATGCATTTGAATAGGATACAAATGTAAAACTAACGCTTGAGAATATGTGATAATATTCATATCACTGTAAACTAAAACAAATTCAATGTGATAATATATCCCTATAAACTAAAACAAATCCAACTACATTTTTGCAAAAATACAAAAAGGAGAATTGGCATGAATGCAAAATACAGGTCACTGTATGACTTTACCAATGATAAATTCAAAATCCATGTCGAATACTGAGCTATAAAGGTCCCGATAAAAAAACACGAAACAATAAAACAGAGACAAAGTGTAAATATGACATAAAGCGAATAGCATTAAACGAAAAAAAAAAAAAAAAAACAGACGACAAAGAACGACAACAACTTATTATTAATTTCTTCAATTTAAATGAATTTAGAAGAATCTCTACTGTAAATTTAAATCAAAACGAAATCTGAATAAATCTGCTATTATAGAGTGCAATTTTTTGCCCATCGGAATAGTTACAACATGTGTCGATTAACCTTATTGTCGTATTGCCGAAACTTACAAGAAGAATATTAATATTAAGCCGATTTAATAATGTTACTTTTCTAATTAACGTAGCAGGTACAAAGAAACGTAGACTTCTTATTCCTAAGGTGGTACATAACATTACAGGGAGATAACTCTGTAAAAATCAGCTGAACGTTTTAGTCAGGTTCTATTGTTAATGAAATATTAAACTTCTCAATGATCAAAATTAGTGTTTGTCAAACTGCCATATATCCAATGAAATTTTTCCGATAAAAGAGGGACGAAAGATACCAGAGGGACAGTCAAACTCATAGATCGAAAACAAACTGACAACGCCATGGCCAAAAATAAAAAGACAAACAGACAAATAATAGTACAGATGACACAACATAGAAAACTAAAGACTAAGCAACACGAACCCCACCAAAAACTGGGGGTGATCTCAGGTGCTCCGGAAGCGTAAGAAGATCCTGCTCCACATGTGGCACCCACCGTGTTGCTTATGTTATTAAAAATCCGGTAAATAGTCTAATTCGGTAGGTCACATTCGTGAAAAGGGAAGAGTATTGTAGTCAAGACATAAGGAACATATCCGATATCATCTGTGAAACGGTTATTCCATAACGGTCAACCAACTCGTGATGGCGTCCGTAAAATTTACGAAGGGATGATTTCAACTTCACCATTTGGAACTCTTGGTTTAATAGCTTCCTTGTGAGCAGCAATCCTCTATCAAGGAAATCATGATAGGAAATACAAGCCCAGGAATATCGTATCAATTGGGAGATATATACTCCGTATGCAGGCGCTGCTGGAATGTTGCTACATAGAAATGGAAAGTTCACAATTGGAAAGCTGAAATCATCTCTTTTGTCGTAAAGTTTTGTTTTCAAGCGACCCTCATTGTCAATTTCTAGATGTAAGTCAAGATATGAGGCAGACTTAACTGTATCTGTAGTATCCTTTATCTCTAGTTCGATGGGACAGATTCGTTCAACATAGTCACCAAATTTTTGTATCATTTAGTGAGAGAACATGATCTATATAGCGGAACGTAAAGTTAAAGGATATTGCTAACTTCTTATCTTTCTTCCTAAGAAGTTCCTGTATGAAGTCAGCCTCATAATAATAAAGAAACAAGTCGGCAAGAAAAAGTGTGTGGTTCAACTTTTTTGAAATTTTAATATTTTTGTCAAAGGGTCAGAGTAAATAATTTGTCAAATTTTAGTCAAGGTGTTTCGTACCTCTTTAAATTTAGAACCAAAAGAATAAACCCCAAATTAAACAAAGCGCCAATGTAAACTTTCTTATCATATGTTTTCTGGAACAGCAAGATGTCTCGTACTGTATCTTTATAGTATTCACAGAGAAAAGAAATAAATGCTCTTGTGTTCATGTGTTTTTCTCGTTTGGTAAAGCTGCTTTAAAACTTACGCGTCACAATTTCTTCCATTAAACTGGCAATCAAGGAGCATATTTTTCAGCTGATGACCAAATTCCTTTTTTTCTTCCCTTAAATGATATACAAAATTTCAATTCCAATTCCCATTTATCATCTATATGAAAACTATGCAATATTTCAATTTTATTTGTTGGTATGCGTTTTCTGTGCCGTAATACCTGGCGTACACCCGTGTGTCCTGGTGCTTTATTTTTGTTAATTCTTTTGATTTGGTAAGAAGCAAATCTCAAATTAACTAAAAACTGATAAGGAGATTCAATTTTAAAATTTTCTAATTTTCATTTTGACCTTTTTTAATTCAACCTTTACATCCGATATACAATTTGTGTAAGACGTCATTATTTCTACATCAGGAGATCATGTTATTTGATTGATTTCAGAAACTGTAAGCATTCAATTTGTTTGTTACTGTATTTTTGAGTATTTTGTCATCTTTACCTGTGTTTTGTTCTTCTATTTATATGTTAAGTCAAACGATCCGAATTAAAGATGAGGAAAGACAAGTTCATCCCCGACAAATTTTCGTAGTGTGAATCTTATAAAGATGTATTTTCTATTTTTCTAACTGTTGGGAGATTGAATATGAAGTTTAAAAGCGAAATATTATGAATATTTGACCGAGACTTTAAAAGTTACAAAGAAATCGAATTTACGTTCATGAAGAATAACTCTTTGTTCGATTGTTTTTTTATTAGACAAGTATCTTAGATAAATAAAGCAATACCCTTTTCTGGAGATGAAACACTTCACGACAAACATAGATGTTTTAGAAATTTTTTAACTGTGAATATCCAAAACTCTAGACCGCTGGATTTGCTAAGAATTGCTCATAGATTGAGTTGAAACCATGCAAACAATTTAAGCATAGTACTTCTAAGATAATTTGAATACAAATTATCTAACAGCAAAAATATCTCAAAAATAGTAGAGATATACAACACTATAAAAATAATTTCTCAAAACTAAGTAAATGAATAAGCTATTATAATCCAATGCGGTATGAAAATAGAACAGTGTAGTTCTGGGTATCAAATATATAGCTATCTCAATTTTATCAAAAGTGAACATACTTTGACGCATCTGGTGCAGAAAAATAGGTACCGTTTATGTTATAACTACCACTGGGTCGATGCCTCTGCTGGTGGACTGATAGTCCCCGAGGGTATCACCAGCCCAGTAGCCAGTACTTCAATATTGGCATGAAAATACGGATTTTGTGTTATTAAAATTTGCTGTTAGAAAATTTTGGATTTTTTTTTAAATTAAGGAAGGTTTCTCCCTCATGCAAAGGTCTGATTCCTTGCCCGATTTTGGCTATACTTTTTTGTCTTTTTTAGTTTATAGCTCTTCATCTTTTTTTCAAGCTTTGGATTTTAAAATATTTTGGCCTCGAGCATCACTGAAAAGACATTGATTGTCGTTATGCGCATCTGCTGCAGAAACATTGATACCGTTTATGTTATTGACCTATAATTGTTTACTTTTTATACATTGTGACTTGGATGGAGAGTTGTCTTTTTGACACTCTTACCACATCTTCTTGTTTATATATAACACTATAAAATCACACGACGAAAATTAATGTCGATGTATCTGTTCCATGACATTATCCTCGGTTGCATCTAGTTATGTCTTAAGGTAGTTTATGTTTATTTTTAAAAAGATGAATAACATGTATGAATAGCTTGCTGTACGGTGTCAGCCAAGGCTCCGTGTTGAAGACTGTAATTTGACCTATAATGGTTTACTTTTATAAATTGTGACTTGGATGGAAAGTTGTCTCATTGGCACTCATACCACATCTCCTTATATCTATCTATTGTAAAAAGACTGTCTGTGGACCACTAGTTGTATTTTGAGGTTTGGGTGTTACATGTAATAGACTTTTTTGCCATTAACGTAGTTTCCGTCTCCTTTAATTGTAAAAGTAGTCGATCCTTTGAGCTATGATCTATTTAAAAAGCTATACATGTACCTGTCAATCTGCAAGTATTCTTCTAAAAAATATTCATACTGAGCAGCATCGTTATTCAAGGGAGATGTGTCGAACTCTTGCCATGTATCCCCAGAGTCATCATAATTATCATCTGTAGTTCCAAAATCCCAATAATTCCAAAAGTCACTATCAACTTCATCTTTGTAATCCGTATCGATATAGGGTGTGGTAGAATCGTATGATTTAGAAGTAACCTGAGGTATTTGCACAACAAGTAAGGATCCAGAATTAGAGGTAGATTCTGTAGCTGTTGGGGTAGTAGTTATTGAAGCTGATGACGCTGTACGACCAGATGTTGTAAACGAGGTTGTTGTTGCTTGCTGTTTGGGATCAAACGTTGAAGGCTTTGGTGGTGGCTGTTCATATGTCCCCTAATATAATAGATATAGAATCTGTATTTGACTAAATATCACTTTCAAATCATTATCTGATGATTTATAAAAAAATTTATGCCATTTTCATGAATACTTCAATTAAAGTGAATAACTTCATGTCAAAAACTGTGAAAACTATTTTTCATAGTCTCCAAACGTATGTGCCGTGCTATATCAATATATATATTTAGACACCAATTACATACATTGTAAATATACAATTCCAAATATACAACTACTGTTTTATGGAATGGTTTACCTGATGATTTAGAAAAATTGCTACTTTCAGTCACTTTAAAAGAAGTTTAAAGTCATGGAATGGAAATGACTGTAAGTGAACATGATTATGCATATTATTATATTTATTTAGCAACTTCATTCTACCACTGTTGGAATGTGTATACAAAGTTCGTTCGCTAGTGACATAGCTTACCAACTAGATTTGGTGTTTAATGGGGCTGTATGTAAGACTTCGCGAATGAAATTCATTTTGAACAATCTTAGCCATATTCCCAAACACAAGAAAGAGGAATCAATCATGTAAGTCCAGCCTACTATTACACCTATTGTATGTAGTAGCTGTAATTTTAATACATCAACACTTTGAACAAGACAGTATTATGTTTTAATGACGAATCTGTTAAATTTCTCATCATCGATAAAATTGTTTATTTTCCCTTCCAAAACAGGTTGTGTAGAGCTTATTAAATGTGGAAAAAGTTCAGTAAATGATTAACAATCGCTTAAATGAAAATGTTTTACTCATAATATTTAGAATACACATCTTAATTTTGAAATGGCACAAACTTTTCATTTTTTTTAAATGATTAATATTCTTTAGCTAAATTGCATTTAAGCCTAAAAACTTCTAAAACTATCAGTTTGTCGCAGTGATTAATACTTTCAAATGAAAATTAAAAAATTTAAAGGTAAACATAATTCATTTTCTGCATATATGTATGCATGTATAAGTAAAAAGATCAAAAGATATAAGAAGATGTGGTATGAGTGCCAATTAGACAACTCTCCATCCAAGTCAAAATTTACAAAAGTAAACCATTATAGGTCAAAGTACGGTCTTCAACACGGAACCTTGGCTCACACCGAACAGCAAGCTATAAAGGGCCTCTAAATTACTAGTGTAAAACCATTCAAACGGGAAAACCAACAGTCTAATCTATATAAAAAACGAGAAACGAGAAACACTTATGAACCACATCAACAAACGACAACTACTGAAAATCAGATTCCTGACTTAGGACCGGTGCAAACAATTGCAGCGGGTTTAAACGTTTTAATGGTACCAAACCTTCACCCTTATCTGAAACAATAGTGTAATTAACACCATTGAACATACACTGAACAAATACATTTGATCTATAATACAATGTTAATACAAAATAAATAAACTAAGGGAAGATTAATTAAAGTAACATGTTATACCGCTGTGAAATGTTTAACAATTTAAGAAAAACAATATGCTTGAACAAAAATATCAGCCATTTGCAATTATTTAAACACATGTAAATGAAAATAATTTTGTTGTTAGGTATACGTGTACAGTTCAAATGGAGAAAGGAAATATTTTTACAAAATAAATAATTTTGATGTTCATAGTACGAAGAAGTGAACATTTATAGTAATACCAAACACTTATCAAAGCTGGTATATAGACCAGATATAACCCTGAATAAGTAAACATTACAAGTTCATTTTTCATTAGTAAAACTTGGACAATATTACACATTTGAGGGATTCTTATTATGTATAATTTTCCCAGTTTCATCTCCCACTTTTCTTTATCCACACTTATAGACCTTGTAATCATTTAATCTGAGCAGTCGAAAGAGATTAGTGAATGCAACAGACTGAACTGTTTGTGGTTAAAACAAATCAACAAATCCTCTTTGGAGATAACTCGAAATTAATTTGAAACGACCTCTTCAATCTGTTTTCCAATTTTAAGGTAGATTGGGTGTCTTCCGCCATCTTGAATTGTAAAATTGTAGAAAATAATCGGTATAGATCTTTAATGAAATGGGCAAATTTCGAGAGAAGAATGTAATGCATTTGTAATACTTTTTAACTAAATGAAGGCAATTAAGTGTTTTACGACTGTTTTTTGGAAATACAGAATATGTTTTGTTTGATTGAATTTTGAACAACTTTGCCATTTAAGGGGAGATAACTCTGATAAAGTAACTTTTATAAAGGAATGTGTAATGAATTCAGCTATTTTGTTTTGTAGCAAGAAAACGAGTCATGTGACCCCATCTTTTCTTCTTATTTTCTGAAAACATACTATAAAGGCTACCTTCTCATATTTTATTTTTAAATTCTAAGGCAAAGTATTCTTTTTATCACATAAAATAAGAGTTTCCGTGCATAATCTATACAAAATCTGACAATTTTGCACAACCTGCAGCTTGAAAAGAAGCTCGGTGACCCATACTTTTTATTATATTTTTGAAAAAAGCATGATATAAACTACATTTTGGTAAATGATTAAAAAATTGAAAAATTCTATGGATTTAAATATAGACCCCCCCCCCCCCCCCCCCATCTATCTTAAGTACATACAACAAGTAAACTTACGTTGAGAATCTGTTGTAATATTTCATTTTGGATTTCATGTATTTTGGACATGCGTATTGTGTTCATATTACAAATAGTAATTGCTGGAAAGGGAAGAGGCCTGAATTCCATCTTCACATTGGTTTTTACTGGATACGAATAATAAATCGTTCCAATGGTATATAGTTGGTAAACGGCAAATGAAAGAAGACCAAGAAAAGCGACTGTCCAAACACATTTCAATGGAGATGGTTTATTTCCAGCAAGACAAGATATACCATGAACATTTGATTGTCCTGCTAGACCCGAAAGAAGTTTACGCATTGAATTATTTTCTTCAGGTCCACCGTTGCCTTTGTTCTGCAAAACATATTATGAAAAATGAAAAATAAAATAAAATATTCGACAATTAAAATCGAAAAATAGACAATTTAAAAAACTTTAATATTCTAAACACACGAGTTGTAAATAGTATGCTGTACTTGGTACGGATAGAACGAGTAAAGTTTATTTCGGCCTGGATCCATGATAAATCAATGTAAACAAATATAGTTTATATGGAGGCACGGTATCATGGTAAAACAATCAGTGTTATTAAATTCCCATACAAAATCTACAATTATAAATACGTTCATTCCTTAGCTAAATAAATAAAGCTTTCAGGTTCAGTGTCATTCACTTTTGAAATATTGAAAAAAATTTGCAACTTCGCTTCCTTATATTATCTACTGGCAATATTATCTTGAAATGACTTTTACAACATAAGTTATTAGAAATTTTTAACAAAGCTTAATTAACCAGCAAAATTAAACAAAAATTGCAAGATTCAATGACATTTCGAATCTATTTCAAGGATATTATAGTTTCGTATCGCAGCGTAGGGGTTCGACTCATCGTCTCGCTTCGATCTCGTTTTTTCTAATTTATCAAAAGTATTACCTTTCCAGAAATTCTTGGGATCGAGTTGTTTTCATCAAGCAGATCATGTTATACCCATCAGGAAATCATTTGAATTTTTTTTCTATAAAAAGTTATTTTTGGGGGAAAGAATACATAGCAAGTTAAGAAACTGGCAATTTCTTCGTATGGTATATGCATGATTAAGGAAGATAAAACTTAGCATTTATGAATTCATAAATGCATTTCCTTGTAAACTGGAGAGTGGACCTCAGTGGAACGTTTTAAGAATCACAATTACATTATATATCTATATTTTACATATATCAATAAGAACTATTTGGAATGGTCAAATTGAAAATTCATTCACTGTAAGTTTCTTGATTAAATATAGATTTATCATAGTATATAATAACTGTTAAAAGCAAAAAGCAATTTTTCTCCGCCAAACTAGTAATGAATTCTTTAAATCTTGTCATTAAAACATGTGTTGTTTCCTTGATAAAGTTCCATGTAGAATTGTGTTTATCATTCCAATTGTGCACAACTTTACTTGCCTCAGAAGACATGATATAATTTTGACTGAATACTAATGTACATAATTGTATAGAAAGCTATTACTACGTGATGTATAAAACATTCCAAATATCTATATTGGGCATTCAGGAGTTGGGAAAAAATGGAAAAAAAACGATATTTGATACAAGTGCATTTCATGTTATTGATATGCATGTATGTGCAGATAGGAATTCTTTGATTTAGGGAATTGAAAAAAACTGACCACACAGTATACTACAGCAAACAGCTAAACCAAATATGAAGAAGTCATTTTAAGTGCTGATGAACATATCGACTCATATGTATGTCACTATCACAGATTGAATATAGGACATAGATGAATAAGAATTTGCTTCTCAACTTGATCGTAGATTTTTATATTGATTCAAATGAAGTTTTGAACAAGTATGATGTCGCCCTTTAGTATTATTAATTTTTTGATGTAGAAAGTGTTTGAGTTTTTGATATACTAAGGCTTTATGGTTTTACTGAAAACGACAATCAAGGGCTATTCGGGAAACTTATTGAGCAAAAACAAATATTTATTACAATGGAGATTTGTCAAAGACAAAAGGAATTATAAACAGTAATTATCACTTATTGCCAGTAATAGAAAAATACCAATAACTGTTCAGTAATAGAAATGTCTGTATGGTACTGTCAACGTAATGTATCTGTGAATAAAAACTAGCAGTATTTCTAAATTGATCATAGATGTAATCCGTCAGTTTTATTTGTAGACTTTATCTTAATGGTTGTGCCAATATCCTTCTGTTGGTTTAGACTTCAGGTTTTTTCCTGCTCTTGTTTTTGTTAATTGATGAACTATTGGGTGTTTGATATTCAGTCAGATAAATTGTGGTTGGATGGGTTAACCTAAAGTGATTTGTAAGTTTCATCTGATAAAACCGTGTTATTCGTGTCATCAGGTAATATAATGTAATATGCTGATACGATAGAGACCATCGTCATCTGGCATTTGCTATTATGTTTCAAATGGTTTTTTTTTGTTCGTGGGAAGTAATAACGGAATCTTTTCTATTAGTATATTCATATAGGGAAGACTTATAGTCAATATTTTAGCGTCGTTTACTCAAGTGTGATTAAAAATGCTTTAATTGAAATGTAAATGGAGAGGTTTAATAGTAATGTAATATCTCAGATTCATCGTAAACATTTACAATATAACTGGAAGTATTTTTTTTCTGTTTATTTTGTCGATGTTAATCGTTATGAAGTACTGGCAAAAGATATCTTGGGAGTTTGAATCTGATAAAAACAAATATAGATACACTTTTGTTCTGTAAATACAAATCCATGTTAAACATTATGAAACACAAAACGTTTTCGTTCTTTACGAGTTTACGTAATAAGATTTTTAAAAGAGGTATTTAAGGACATTGGGTGAATGTCTTACCTAAGGGTTGTTAAATCATTGTATCAACAGAAATCAAAAGTCAACAATTGTTTTATTATGTTACTTTTGTGTTCATCTCCAACTTCTAGTATTTAATCAAGATATTTGACTGCTCCTTTTATACTAAATATATATCTGCTGTAGCAGGAGCAATTCTGCTGGAGATTCGGGGATGCGGACCACAGCTTGTTCTAGTTTGTGAACTGATTTAAACGAAGAGACGATGGATTCCAAATGTTAAAGCGCTATCTAAATATCTAAGTAAATGAAAAACCAAAAAACAGTGACAACAATATATAATTTAATCAATAAGTACAACTTTAATCATGAAATCCAAAGTAAAGAAATGGAGCATTCAATGACTTCAATATTACCCGTATTAAGAAAGCATATGGCAGATACACTAACCTTAAAGGGGATTTGGAAATGCACAGCTTTCCTAGGTTGAACTGAACATCAGTCCTCAGACAAATCAACAGAATAATTCCAAACCAGTTATATAAAATGTATAAGTTTTTCAAAGAAGGTTATAAATGATTTGCGAAGATGCAAATACTAAATTTTAGAATATAAATAAATATCTTTAACCAATGAATTTAAAATATAAATATCTATTCAATTTTACAAATATGTACTGAATAAGCACCAGGAAAATCATTAAATAAAGAAATATGAAATTTATAGTTTAAACAAGGGAAATAACAATTACATAATAATCCTGTCTGCCACATTCCCTCAATTGGGAAAAGAAAACCAAACAGCCAAAACTGAGGCGTATGACACCTCTGAGTACTGTGAAATAAATCTAAAGTAAATCTGTATATATACAACACAATGTAAAAACAAACATTAAACAAAGGTAACACAATCTGAACTACAAAAATTGTGATTCAAATCGTTCTTTAATATCCCTTTTATTTTTTAGAATTTCATTTGACTATCCGCAGACCTTTCCTCTCTAGCATGAACTTTAGAAGACATATTTGGACACTAAGACCTGACATGACCTAGCTGATGACATTTAAAACATTTCTTAGGTTTATGTTTCCTATGGGATCTCAATCGTTTCCTCAATATATTAATTAAAATTTCAAAACGGTTACGAACAGTATTACAACAAACTGAACTTTCTGACTCATCAATAGTCTCTGGATCACCAGTAAAATGGAAAGCTTCATAGAAACGTAAAATAGTTTGAGCATCACCTCTCAAATTCATTATTAAGAAACATGCCATGTCAAATTCATTCCACTGATTCCAAAGAGAAACTGTCTCAAAATGAACAAAATAATCTGTAACATCAATGCTGACACCATCAAACAAACAAGGTTTTTCTTCTGCCACACTGCTTTGGCAGTTGCTAAATTTATAAGCTGAAATATTCAATAAGATTAATTAATAAAAAAAAATATCGAAAAAAAAGAAGCCAAAAATGAGAATGTGCAGGACGTGAATATAACGTTTTATCAAAGAAGATTCCCTACGTTTTCAGCCAATGAGAAAAGAGAATTTCTATAGTTATATAATAAAGTGTAATATCAACAATATCGGAACTTATGAACATAATGTAATATCAACGATAACAGTACTTCCGTACTTCCGATAAGAATGCAATTCAACGGTATCTTTATTTCCGATCAAATATGACATTAAATGACTTTTTAGTTCGATTTGACAATAAATATGCAAAAAGAAGAAGAAAAAACTGAAAATATATAAATGAATAAGATAACAATAATGATCCCCCTCCCCCAATAAAACTGCGCAAATCTGCATGCAATGACAATGCTTCATAACTTACATGACGGGATCGGGGAGGAATACAATTATTGGAAATGTACAATTAACAATCAGATCTGTCGTAATACAGTGTAATTGTGCATTTCATATTTCGGTCATTAAACATGGAAAAAACTACAGAAAAGGAAAGCTAAAAGTACTGACAATGGAATCGACTGTTTAACAATTATAGCTAATACCTTGATGATGTACTCGATGTTGATAATACCAAGATTATCAAAAATGCTACATATATGTGTTAAAAATTACTTCAGCTTAATAATGATAATAGTAACAGTCAACATTGTCCATTTATATACAACTTTATTGGTTCAAAATGGAAAAATTATTATTGAAATATGCGTTAAAAGAGACGATTCCAACTTTGCCCTCACAAATTTCCTTTTTTGTATAGCGATGTTCTGCTTGCCACATTCTTTGGCATGAACGTTTTACAACTTGTTAATGTCGTTAATAAAACTATAACACTGAGAAATGAGATATCTTATCTCTGCAAATTTTTACATCTTTTAAAAGCAAGAGCTAAATGCGTGATATACTTATAAAATGTACCAATTTAGTTGAAATGACTCATTCTGTCGATGGTCAGGAGATTTTAAATACTGGCTTCTCACAAAAACTACCAAGTACTTTTGGTGATACCTGTTATCTTTTTTGTATTCTGCAAACTAAACACTGA